AAAAACAAACAAACAAAAAAAACAGATGAATTAGATGAGCAACGCAACAATTTAGTAACAGACAGACCTTCACAATTTTGTCCTATAAATTCTGCGTGACAAGTACAAGTGTAGTTTTCCAAATGGTTGTGACATGTTCCATTATTCTGGCAAGGACTATCATAGCAATGGTTTATCACTTAAAAAAGAAGTACAATCAAAGCTAGTGAGTATGACTTTGAAGGGTTAAAAGTAAAAAAAAAAAAAAAAAAAAACACATTTATTTCAATGAAAACCTAATGAAAATGTTTCAATTTAATTAAGCGCAGCGAAGCTATTAAAAGGGTATCAATTTAAGCTCTACACGCACCAAATCAAAGAAGTCTGACAGTCATTTTTTTTTTTTCGAATTTTGCTCTTTTAGAAAAGTAACAGGTCATATTCCTATTTTCGGTATTGGACTGAAACTAGTTTGTAACTGAGGCTAATGCAGAGAGCTTTTCAAATGCAAATGAAATTAATCTCCTTTTAATGATTTTTACCCCACAAGAACTTTCGTTGCAAGCTACTTTCAGTCCAATATCGAGAAAGCGAATCTGGCCTATCGCAGTTTGCGCTTCGTTCAGCGACCCACTAAATACATTTGTATTGGTATTCTAGCAGCATTCCGTGAATGAGCGAAGTTCCCAGTTACAATTTTAGCAATATTTAGACCAACTATTAAGAAAGACAAAAACAGAATAATAGAACCACAAAAGACGCATTGGGAGATTTCACTGGCTGTTACATTGGTCTTAATTTGTTCAAGTTAAAAAATTACCTTCACAGTTGTTTCCTGCAAATTGATCAGGACAGTCACATGTGTAATTGTCGGCAAGACTGTGACATGTTCCATTGTTTTGGCAGGAAGAGTTGAAACAATAATCCATCACTGAAAACAGCAAAAAAGGGAATACCATCTTCGTTTAATACATTATAAGAGAATATCTAAGCACTGCTTTCTGTTTGAAAGCCATAGTTATTAATTGTGGCTGTTGTCATATTAACACAGATGTCCTGAGGAAAACTTCGATTAACTGCAGAAATCAGAAATTAGAAAACCGTTTTCACTTGTCGGGAGATTTCGTTTCCTGTCAATCGTTCCAGTTTCTACAAATTCATGACCAACCTTCACAGTTATGTCCTATGAACTGATCGGGACAGTCACATGTGTAGTTATCGGACAGACTGAGGCATGTTCCATTGTTTTGGCAAGGCGAGTTGAAGCAATAATCCATCACTAACAGCAAAGAAAAAGAATATGTATTATTTAACATCTACAAGTTGTCAAGACGGCATACTTAGCTAATACCTTTTTCTACGTCAAAAAGGTTAATTTACTGAACATTGTCTTCATATTCCATCGAAATCATACATACTGTTTATGCAACGCTTTTGAGTTGTATACCATGGAATATTCCACGAGTCACCCGCATTTTGATAGCATACACACGAGCCTTTAGGCGAGTGTGCATACCAAGAAAATACAAGTGACATGTAGAATAGTTCATGGTATACCACGAGAGAGCGTGTAACCAGCGCAGCGCTTTCCGCCGTCATAACTATTTTATACCACGCCAAAAGAAAATAGAGTGCCCAATAAATACAGTGACTCAATAAATGGGACATACATGTACACGTGCGCGTGGTGCTCGATGGGAAGGCTGGTTGTAATAAACAAAGGCTTTCCTGTATTCTGATTAGCTGTATTTTCTATGGCACGGTATAAATGTCTACATTGGACTTAGGAAACTCATTTCACGTTATTACATTTGTTCTCGTTAAAAGCGATAAAGAAAGGTCTCCCGCAGGGAAAAAAAAAATGAAGGCCCATCAGTTTACAAGCCTCATACCTTCACAGTTCAGCCCCGAGGATCCCGCAGGACAATCACATCTGTAGCTGTCTGGAAGATTGTGACACGTTCCATTGTTTTGGCAGGGGATGCTTTGGCAATGATTCCTTACTGCAAGTAAACAATGGAAACCAGCGCTTTCAGCCGTCATTTAATCTTCATAGGCACTTATGGCGTAGAAAGAAATAGATGAGAATTAAAAGGCTTTAATATACTCGGAGACATACCTTCACAGTTTGGTCCTGTAAATTCCTCAAGACAAGTACAAGTGTAGTTTTCCAAATGATTGTGGCATGTTCCATTGTTTTGGCATGGACCATCATAGCAATGGTCCATTTCTGAAAACAAGGAAGTATGCTAGTGAGAATTGTTCCAACGTACTGTAATTAATGTCCCCCAAAAAAACAGCAACAACAGTATTTTTTTTTTTCGATCCCTCGACCAAATGAGATAACGGGAATTTCCCGTGGCTGTTATCTGTTGCTGTTTAATTATTTATGAGACTGACCTTCGCAGCTATGTCCCGTATATTGATCAGGGCAGTCACAAGTGTAGTTATCTGCGAGATTATGGCATGTTCCATCATTTTGACACGGTGAGTTGAAGCAGTAATCTATGACTGAAAACACAGCAAAACAGTCTATCACTATTTTACGTACCATAGATATATCTTCAGAGGAGGCTGCGTGACCGAGTGTTTAGGGCACCGGACTTGAAATACAGAGGTCGGGGGTTCAAGTCCCGCCCTGACCACTCAGCTGGAGTTGTTTCTCGGTAGACCTCAGTTCAACTCTTCGGTTATGCTCGTTAATGGCCAACTGCGACCCGCCAGTTGGGGTTTTATGCTTAATTGATATATTTGTTTCTTTCATTTCAAGTGGCATGCTTGTGAACTAGTTAGGCGTAGCTATGTGTATTGATTACTATCAACAGCAACAAATTAACATTTTTTTTAGATATAATATTTAGACTATTTTCCTAAAGATACACTTTTTGTTGTTGTAGTTGTTTTGTTTGTTTATTTGTTTGTTTGTTTGTTTGTTCGTGTTTTTCATTCTCTCTCATTAATAACGACAAGGCAAGGCTTATCGTGCATGGAAAATGAAACCCGACCCAAATTCACAAGCGACTTACCTTCGCAGTTTAGCCCTGAAGATCCTACAGGACAATCACATGTGTAGCTGTCAGGAAGATTGTGACAGGTTCCGTTGTTCTGACAGGGACTAACGTAACAGTGGTTCCTAACTAGAAAATAGGAGAGATTCTTAATTAAAGAAGCAGGTCACCGTTTGCACATCTTGAAATTTTTAGCCGAGATATTTCAAGTTCGTCGTTTGTAATCCATTTCAATCTTCTCTATCCTCAACAATCCTTGTTCCTTTATGGTTTATTATTATCTCTTTGGTGTTTTCTATCTTAGTAAACTACTATTTTCAGGTTTCCTTCAAGTTAAGGATAATTTCCGTGACTGAGCTCCTTTAAGGGTCTTAATAGGTCCACAACAAATTGAATCGCCTTAACAATGACAAGCACAAGTGTAGGTCTCCTTTTCGTTGCTACTATCTATTTGTCGTCCACTCTCACGTCACTTCCACAACACTCATAGACACTTCACCATGTTTGTTGAAATTTATAATAACGAAACAATCACATGAACCGATAATCTCAGAGAGAGTCAGTTTTACTAACCCTCGCAGCTTTTTCCTGAAAAACCCGCCGGGCATGTGCAGTTGTAGTCATTCAAGGCATTATAACATGTGCCGTTATTTCTGCAGGGGCTTCCAAAACAATGATCAACCACTGAAAACAAGTAACAAAGAACGTCAGAATCGTCTTGAAAACAAAAAGGTCAACGTTTATGAAGAACCATTAAAAATCAAGAACGAATCCCTTCAAAGTTTTAATAATACACTCGATTGAATTACTCGATTCTGACTGGCTAAAAAGGAGTGAAGTTTTCATGCAATATCAGTGCAAATTTGAAACACTAGAGCAGATTTGAAATACCAGTGCAAATTACAACGAAGATATCCCAAGTTGGTACGAAGACACTCATGACTGCCGATGGTAATCCAAGGTGTGGCAAAGGTGGTCGAAGTTCACCTGAAGCCTTCCAAAGATAGCCGAAGGTAAATGGACGTTTTCCGAGCACTTCCAAAGATCACCCGAACCCTTTCGAAGATCAACGAATATGACCCAGACATTGTGGAAAACTCTGACAATAGATGCATTGCTCACCTTTACAAACGTCCTCGAGGATAGAACCAGCAAGATTTACAATTGAATCAAAACTTGTGGTAAAGACATTCTCATCATCAGGGTCGCTTGCAATCTCCTCCAGTTCCTTATAATCTGCATCGCCAACACCAACAGCAATGATATGCACTCCCATGTCATGGAGACGCTTTGCTGGGTCTTTTACTTTGTCTCGTGCGCGACCGTCAGTAAGGACAATGAGGATGTGAGGGACGTCCGCCCTTGCCAGTGGAAAGAGGTCTGTTCTTAGATGATTCAAGGCATCACCCGTATAAGTATATCCATCATAAAAAGGGATATTTTGAATAGCATCAACAATGTCTGCTGTTGTGGTGTACTTTGTAAAATCAAAGTGGATCTTAAACTTGGACTTGCTGGAAAATGTTGCCACAGCAACTGTCGTGTCATCCGGACCAATTACAAACGATCTGACAATCCCTTTGATGAAGTCTTTCATGATCTGGTAATTATGCTCCCCAGAACTTTCTATGCTTCCAGAGCTGTCCAACAGGAAGGCCACATCAACTTGGGTAGATTGGCATTCTGTGTTGTGAAAAGGCATAGACAGAGCAAGTTACATTACTCTTTATATTTTCTGCACTTTGCAATGAAAACTTACAGATTTCTCAAAATCTGCATCCCCTAATACCAGCTGTTAGTTTCTGTTTGTTGTTGTTGTTGTTTTGTTGTTATTTTTTCTTATTGCCTTTTTCCCCTTTGAAACAAAAACAAGTGCACACTGCTTGAGCAACAACAAATCGCTTATGGTAACTTCAGGTAAAATTTTTCTTTCGTGACTAAAACAAGTTCACGAATATAAAAGGGATATTTGAAGTACGAACCTCTCGTAAATAGGAGGACCCCTCCAGTAAACGTGCAAGGGTCCCCATCCCCGAACACGAGCACACCGTTATGTTCCCGACCACCTTAAAAAAATCTACTCTCGATCTCCCATGAGCGGAAACGTCCATTAAGTGGCCCGATAATGCGATGTTCATCGCTGGCCCGATGTTCAAATGAGTCTTATCCAATCAGGAAAGGTTGGACTCACCCAATCTGTTCGTTTTCCCTGCACAGATAATAGCCACGGGCAAGTTCCAAAGTAAAGGGGGTTTGTGCTTACATATGTGATGTATGGTATTGCCGAAACGTCTAAACCTGAAATAACACGTTATCATGGCATGATCAGGTGCCATTACGAGCGGAAAATTTGACATTACTCACGCGTGGTGCAATTTTCCCCATATCGATTGCTTGAACACAGACATGTCGAGCCTCCAGGAAAGTTCTGACAAACTTGGTTTTCGGAGCAATGAGTCACACCGGCTGCACATTCATCGACATCTAACAATAAAAGACACCTTGATTTTCTGATACCGTAAATTATCATAACTTACCAATCATTTACCCTTTTCTCTCAGTAATTGCCTAACTGTTTAATTGCAGGTTTAACAGACCCTTTGCACGATCCAGTCACATGGTACAAAATCACACATGCTGGGACGCAAGTTGCACAGTGGGACTTCCAAAACAAAGCAGCCTGTACCAGTACACCTTGACCTGCCTTTGTTTTGGAAGTTCCACTGTGCAACTTGCGTCCCAACATGTGTGATTTTAAACCATGTGAACGAATCGTGCAAAGAGCCTGTTTACATCGAAATCTATTCAGATATTTACTACACTTTCTCAAAATTCTTCGCGGCCGTAGCCAGTCGCAGCGCGTTTCTCTTCCGGTCCCCCTAATCGCGCTAGGGTTTCGAGCATCGCGGATATTTTCTCAGCCTTCAAAGGTCAACGGAGGCCAAGTCTAGTTATATACTTGCCAGACAGACTTGAAGGCAGGATTTATCATCGCAGTTATACACACAACTTAAGTAGTTTTTAAATTACAGTCTGAAAAAAAATTCAGGCTTGAACGGGATTCAAACCAATGACTTCTGCGATACCAGTGCAGTGCATTGACATTAAAGCCTGNCTTAAGTTGTGTGTATAACTGTGATGATCAATCACGTCTTTGTGTCTTTCTCCGCAGTTCAAATATACGACCTTTCATATATCCACTTGTACATAAATAATGTATTGAACGCTAGATATAATAAACAATTAGATTATTCGCTCTCGATTTCTATCGCGTGATAGTGCGCCCGAGTCAACTACCACGCATAGAAATCGAGAGGGAATAATCTAATTGTTTTAGTATAAATCTGCTAGTCGTTCAGAACTTTATTTCAATCCTCTTCACAGACACTTCGAAAACGCCATGAAGCGGCCGTCATTTTGTTAACAAGGGCACACTGCTACGCTACTCACTATGTATCACAGAATAGAAAGTGAATAGCGTAGCCAATCAGAGAACGGCATCCGTGATAGAACGCTAGTAGATTTATACTAAATGCAATTATTATATTGGCATGTCTTAACCGCCACGTGTAACACAGATACGGAAGCATCCCTAGTAAATACAAACCAGATTCACATTCTTTTCCTTCCCATTCCGGTGTACAATCACATTGAAAGTCACTCAGCAGACTGACGCACTTTCCACCATTTTGACACGGATCACTATAGCAGAAGTCGATCGCTGAATGGAAAGAAAATTTAAAATGTGAATGAAGTGAAAAAAGAAAGAAAAATAATTTCCTCCAGGATAAACGGCTGCCAATCGTTGATAATAAAGCAAAACTCATAACTATGGCACTGTAAAAAAGAGCATTCATTTCAATGTATTCAATTATAATCAAACTTTACTGAAGATGAGGAAAATTCAATTATAATCAATTAAATAAAGTTATTAAATTTTATTTAACTATAGGGCTGTGCATGGCAGCTACAAACAATCGAGAGAAAGGGATATAAGACCATTGTGGCTAGTAGTTTCACAACACTCAAATACACTTAGGAAAGTCGCCGGTTGCAAAAGGGAAAAAAAAGAATTTATGCTTTCTAACTTTTAATACTGAAAATTGAAACTGGCCAAGAACTAAAACCAATAACTTTGAACTTGTTCCATCGCACTACTTTATGTAACAGTTATGTTACATGTCATGTATGTCACCCTCCACTCTTATTTTGTCACAAAGGCGAAAAATGTCTCAATCCTTTTTTTCAGAGATTATTTTGTAAACTCACCAGTACAGATCTGTTCTCGCACTACACCTTTAATTTCGCTCAAAGCTGAAAAAGACACTTCAAACACGTGCTCCTCGTCTGGATCAGAGGCCATTTCTTTCAATTCTTGGTCGTCATAGCAACAACCAACGCCTAGACTGATGATAGTCGCACCCTCGTCACGTAGCTTTTTAGCAGGGCCTGCCACGTCATCTTGTGACATACCATCTGTCAATACCAACACAACCTTTGGTAGCGATTTTCGGTCCTTCTTAAGACCCTTAAAAACCTTTGTGCGCACTTTGTCCAGCGCATAACCAGTCTTTGTATAATCACCTGGATAAGACATTTTATCGATTGCTTTCACAATGTAGTCAACTTTATCATATTTGTCTAAATCGAACACCACATTGGCTTTCTTTGAGTACAATACCAGAGCAACGTTTGTGTCCTTTTTCCCAATCTTGAAGGAACGCACAAGTTCAATAATGAAGTCTTTGGAACGTTGGAAGTTGCCTTTTCCTTGGGATTCTATGCTTCCAGAACCATCGACTACAAAGACTAAGTTGAACTTTTGTCTGACACAAGCTGCGGAGAAACGTTTTCAAAATCAACTCCAGTGCAGATGGTTTCACAGATTTTATTATTCACGCTGACATTAGCATGGACATTGACTTTCACATTGACTTTGCGAGAGACACTGACAATTGACATGGCATTGACAACAAAACTGATTCTGACATCGACATGGACACTATCACTGACATCAACACTGATAGTAATATTCACATTGGCATTCTCACCGACATTTGACAATAATTACACTGACAATAACACTGATAATGAAATTACTTTTGCCATTGACTTTGACACCGTCATTGATATAGACGTTAACACAACCATAGACAGACCCCGACATTGACGTCGAAGTCGCAATGACACTAAAAGTGACCTTTGCACAACCTTACTTTTGACACTGGCAAAAGACATTCAGTATACCGAGGGCCTAACTAGCTAAAGTACTGTCCCAAAGTACTGTGAACGAATTTCGCCGATTTTTGCTCTTTGTTCTCACAAAGTTTCCGTACGTCTAAATTCCGTTAACGCATTCGCCAAAGATTCAAGAACCACCAATGTAGCGAAAGCCAATGTAGCGGAAGCGAACTTTCATAGCAGCAAAAATTCGTGAAAGCGAGACTTCAGTCATCAGACAGTGTTAAAACGAAAAGTCCAAGAAACAAAAAAAATTCAAAACGACGAATGAACAAATTATGTTAAATATTTCACAAAAATCCTTGCCTAGTTCACATTGTCGTCCAGAGTAATCGTTTGAACATTCGCACTCAAACTTTCCAAGACGATCATTACACGTTCCTCCATTTATGCAGGGCCCTGAATCACACTCATTCAGGACATCTGTAAATTGAAAACAGAAAAAAATTATAATAGGAACGTAGAATAAAATTAGCGTGACAAATCATAATTGCAAACTTGTCAGTTAGCAAAAAGTAAATCTTTTAAAAGAAATACGGAGTTCAATAGATCATTTCCGAGTTGCTCTTTGCCTCTGTGCCAAAACCAGTCTTTGTGCGAAACCATTCATATGAAAATGTGTTCCGCGTACAGGTTCATTTTCATACAAATCAAACTCATTTTCATCTGAAAGGTTTTGAACGAGGACTCGCTTTGAATCAGAGGCACAAGGTAACTCGGAAATGGCCTATTAATAATGAAATTAATGTGGAATGAAGAAGGATGCATCACAAATAAGAAAACAGAAGGGTACTAAATTGAGATGGGAAGAAATGAAAATAATAAAAGAAAACCACTATCAGCTAACCTGACCCTAAGTCGACGTAAACTGGAATAAAATAAATTCAATAGATAAGGATAAATCAAGGGAAACGATAAAGTTGAATTAATTTGTGTACCTTCTGTGCAGTTTTCTCCTCCAATTCCCAGAGGACATGTACAGTTGTATCTTCCAATGCCATCAGCCGAACAGTTGCCACCATTTTTGCATGGATTGAGAGAGCAAGAATCTGAATGAAAAACGAAAACGAAAAACATGCATCCATGAATGGACTATACAATATTTACTTCAAATCCTTAAACCAAAGCACACCAAAAATGCCTTCCTTAGCTTCATTTAAACGTTTGTTGTACTGTTAGTTCACTCATTTTAATTTAGCTTATCAGTTAATTTTATCTGACAATCAGCTGATAATTTCACCTTGAAGGCACTGATATCCTCCATTCTCTCCATATTTGTTCACACAAATTTCTGATTCTGTGCAGTCGGCGCTGGAACACGGATTTGCCGCTGTGAAAAACAAGTAGTTTAGCTACCATCACTAGCACTGTTAGAAACTCAAGCTTGCGACCCAAGTTTGATAGGTCACTGTCTGCACAATAAGCGCGACCCAAA